TCTTTGGCACTTGGTTAAACTTATAATAAAATGCAGTTGGCTAGCTGTCCCATAGCTACATAGTGAGTGTAGGAGGAGGAGATTTTTTATTGTGCTCTCTAACGAGAGCAGAGATTTCTGATTGTTCTCTCTAACGAGAGCAGAAGGCCGGTAAACCTTTGAACACCATATGCAGCCAGTGTGGTCCACTGCGAGCCACTGGACCACTTTCTTGGTGCATTGATCTCTTTTTCCATCTGTTGATATTAAAAACATTTGTCATTTAGCTTGGGTGGTGTGTGGGCTAGTGAATTGTAGGTCCCGAACAAATGGTGTGGTCATGCAGAAATTGCCCAGGATTTTCCAGAGACCAAAGTGCACAAATATATGTGAAGTGTGTAACAATGGATATCATGAGTATAATGTTATTACTGCAGGGTATCTTTCATGTCTTTTCTTGGAAAGGTGCATATTTTAGTCTTCTGATGTATTGGCCTTCTCTGTGAATGGTAGTATAATGCTTCCTATGTACGATAGGAAGATGAAATCTCACGAGAATCTTTTCTCTTGGACTACTTGTGCACCTCCTTCGCCTTTTCTTTGTTCTTTTCTCTTTTTCTAAACTCTTCTCTTTCCCTATTGCTGCATGTGTAGACTTATCTTGGTTTGAATTCTGATGTGCACATTAATTTTTTCTTTTATCAAAAGGTAAAAATGATAATTGTTATGTCAATGTATTCATATGTTTGTAGATAGTTTCTCATTTCCATTTTCATCTGTTGTTTGCCCCCTGTGGTGCTGTGCCATCACTGCTGATACATTTTGTTGGATGCTTGTGCAAACCAGTACAATGGGGGCCCAACACTTGCCAAAGCTGACTATTGCATGGAATGCCTTATTGATGTGGCACGCACTGTCGTCTGTGCTGACAGCTATAGGGACCGAAGAAAATTGATGAAAGAGATTGCAGACAATGTACTTTTGGGCAAGTGCATGGATGGAACCTACTATGTTTCAAAGGCATGGTATGAGTACAGTTGTTTCTATTTTATGTCCACTTTAAGTAGTTTCACTGATATGTTTACCTTGCCAGACTACAGTAGATTATCATATTCTTCTTCTGCTTGATAGAAGGAAAATCAGTTCCTTTTAACATTTTGCTTCTCTTCTTCTGAGCTTCTATATTGCTCTGTCTTGCATATTTTGTCAACTTGAGCTTTCAATTTGATCTAGAAATTGGTCAGAGTAAACGTTGTGGGTCGATGACATAACCTATTCTGAAGAATAAAACTTGCTCCACTTTGCTCTCTATTGTTATGTTTTGGGGGTGTAGTGAGTGGACATGTAATAAAACTTGCTCCACTTTGCTCCGCTTGTAGGTTGCAACAGTGGGTGAAAAGAAAAAACCTTGATGCTCCTAGTGAAGCTGATGCTGGACCAACAATGTCTATTACATGTCCTCATGGGCACCTGATGCCGGAACAAGCTGCTGGTGCTAAGCGATTGCTGGTTCCTGAGAAGCTATGGCTCTTCTTTTATGAAGATGCAATCACAATAAAACCTGATGAACCTTCAGGTTGCTCAACTTTTCCTTTTGACTCTGAAGAGTGTCCTGAGTGCAGCAATGCACTTTCAGAAGTTGCTTGCTTGGAAGATTCTATAAGGTCAATCTGAACTAAATTCACATCCATTCTGTATTGATATCCACTAATATGATTTCACAGTTGACTGACTTCCATTGTTTATGCTGCAGAGCAGTGAAGCTCAAACAGCGGCAAAATCATGAAAAATTAGCCACGGGCAAGAGTATTCCACTGTCTTTAAACTGCAAGTATTACTTGGTGCCTTCTTCTTGGCTTTCAAAATGGAGGAGCTACATCACTGCAAGCGGCAAAAATATTTCATCTATGGAACCTGAAAATCTAGATGGCACCATTAATTTGCTGAAATGTGAAAAGGTGACTTGCAACTTCTCCAATAATTCTTTTTCTGTATTCTAGCACCATTGCAGATCATTTGTTTTTTGTGCCAAGAATTGGTGCTTATTATTTTTCCTCTCATGTGGGGACGTAGAAAAGATTTTTTGATGTGCATTTTGTTGCTTTCGATTATTTGATGATGACATTTTTCTGCTGTAGTTAGTTAAAGAAAATTTCTGGAATAATGCACTTATGAATGGGCCAACAACCACTTTATAACTAAAATTGACTTTTAGCGAAAAGGGTGAGGACTTTGATGTCAGAAGTAAAATTTTAGCTGTAGATTATTGCGGCCTATTTTGCTTCCAGTTTGCTCAACTTTCACTCTTTACTTTTAGTCATGAGGATAACGGTCGTAATATCCTTCTTCCGCCTTTGTTTTTCCCAGCATTTACGTCTTCTTGAAAGGCCGCCAAAAGTGGTCTGCAAACGTGGTTCCTATTTCCAGAAGGGTTCTACTGTAAGTATATGAATGTTTATATATATATATATATATATATATATTCATTTGCTTAAATATGCAGACACTGACACTTACAAGTGCTATCTATTAATTATAAGCTTTTTTGGCAATATCCACTCTGCCTAGTTGTCTAGAATAGTAGTTAAAAATTAAAGGTATATAAGCACCTTCTGCTTCAGGTCAATGCTTGTATAAATTCTCTAATACCTGCCACTTGCTTTGTTTTCTTTCTGCCTCCTTCCTCCTCTCATCTTTGGATTTTAGACAGATAGGTTGACAATTATCACTGAGAATGACTGGAAATGCTTTTGTGAAGAATGGGGTGGTACTGAAGAGGACGGCATATCTGCTGTGATTGAGTTAAGTAGCACTGAAAATTTGGCTGGATGCTGTGAGGACATGCCAATATCTGTGCAGCAACTTGATCTTTCAAATGAAGTAAATAATGAGGTTGAGTCAAGACAGCTGGTGATTAGGACCTGCCCAGAGGTAATATTGCTATTTAACCCTGAACTTTTCTTATTGTTTGGTAATCTATGTAATGGAGTTTATTTTGTTTTGGTACTCATGACTATTGAATTCTTTTGAAAGTTAAAATTGATGATAATTAGCTAGTACTATTGCTGTTGGTGTTGTTAATTTTCAGTAATGAAATTTAAAGTGGAAGTCCTGAGGTATGCAAGATGGTTTTTTCTTTTTCGCGTGGAAGATGCGAGTTTGCAGAACAAGAAAATATTTGGGAAGAAGACAGAGATTGCTGTAGTTTTTTTTTGTTATTTATTTTTTCTTCACTTAAATGGGTGAATTTTTATGCATTCATGTAGAGAAATAATTTAAATATTATTGTAGATTGAGGAAGAATGAAATAGATGCTATTTGATCTATATGATCCTAAAAGAGTCCTAGGAATTTAATTTGCAAGAATGCAGGATTGCTCATGGGTTCACAGAAAATTCTGAGGCATCTCACAAGTTATGAAACTTGAACAATGTAATATTGGCTAGAGTGGATTTGCAACATTCTGCCCAGGTTGTTTGGAATGACCATACTCCCTCATTGAAAGGAATGTAAATGGTGCTTTGAAAAATTATTTTTGGTAATTGCCTAATTGGTTCACCGAATATTGTTGGGCATCTCAGATGTCCATAACATCTGGACATCGGAATTGTGGACAAGGCAAGTTACAACATACTGGCCCAGGTCATTGGGAAAATGAGCGGAGAACCTCAATGAAAGGAATGTAACTAGTGCCTTAAAATTTTGTAGTTGCCTCATATCTGGGGAATGAAGTATGCTAAAAAATTTTCTATCCTAAACATGGTTGGGCTTTCAGTTGCTATCACTCTTATATTTGAAAGTTAGAATGACTTATGTTGATATTTTGCTAGGCATGTGAGGAGTGCATTGGAGAAAGAGAAAGCTGTGAGTTGATGCAAAAGCTTAACTATGCTGATGAAGAGATTTATGTTTATCTTGTACGTGGAAAAGAAGCCCCAAAATCGATATTACAAGCATCTGAGTACTCTGAGCCAGATCGACGAACCTCCAAGCGTTCTCGAAGGACAAACAATGGAAATTTACTAAATTTAAAAGTTTCTGCATCTACATCAATATACCAGTTAAAAATGATGATATGGGAATCACTCGGGGTAGGTAATGTTGAGTTTGTTGAATTTAACTATTATTATTTTTGAAAGTGCATGCTTCGTTTTTCTCGACTGATCATGTATTTTTAATATTGCAGAAATAGGAACATGCATTCCCGTTTCTCTGTCTAGAACTTCGAGTTGTAATGTTTAAGACTACTTTAGTTGGACTGACAGTCTTGTCTTTTCCCATGAACCATTGTCTTCCTACCATCTCCTTGTTTAACAAGACACTACTATTTGTGGACTTTAAAAATTTTGGTGATGTATTGTTGTTGAGTTGAATAAAGTCTTAATTGGTAATATTAAATACACTATTTATATTGTTACATTGATCTTATCAAGCTTGCCATTCTTATTGCAATGTATTGGTTGCTCATAAAAATGTTAGTAGATGTTGCAAAGAATGTTAGTTCAAGTTGTCTCTGATTTAGCTTTATGTATTTAAAATCACTTATCTGGGCAAAGTTTGATTAAATTTGTGGGAAATGAAAGTTCGTGCTAAGTTCATTACATGTGATTTGAGTAGAACATGCTATTAATTTAGGGTTGATATCAATCTTTACTTCCTTTTTTTAGGCCAAATATCAATCTTTGTTTGCAAAATGTAGTATTTGAGACTTTCTTAATATTATTCATTCTGACAAGGTTTGCTTGCTTGTCTTCTTGGAACTTAGATATTGGTATTTTCAACTTTATTTTTATTAGATGTGTTTTTGATGAGCAGTTGTTGTTCTCATAGTAAAATATGTTTTCGTTCGATAGTAGCCTCATTATATGTTTTCGTTCTATAGTAGCCTCATTGACAATCATTTTGTGCAGGTTGTTAAGGAAAACCAAATACTTCACAAAGGATCCCGAATAATTGATCAGGAAATGTCAACTCTTGCAGACATGAATATATTTCCTGGAGATAGGCTTTGGGTGAAAGATTCAGAAATCCATGAAGATCGAGATATTGCTGGTAATTGTTCTTCTTTTTTTTTTTTCCTTTTCAAGAAACAGACTGTCATAGATAATGTGTTAAACAGAATTAAGGTGTTATTTCACTGGTTTTTGCCCCAGTTGGATATGATGTACAAGAAACTGGAGAAACTGTTTTCTGTCTTCATGTCCTCAGCAGGTTCATCTTTGTTATAAATTACTGCTTTAAACTGCAGTTGGCATGAATAAGAATCTGACTTTGGTTTATGTGAGAGTTGTTGGATTCTTTAATTTCAATGACATTAGAAAAGAACAGGAAAAATATGGGAAGAATCTGTATGGTTACTTTCGTTCCGAGCTTTATCACCTAAGTAGTTCAACACTGAAGTAGCCATTATTTGTTGATCCTTTGGTGCTGCACAGATGAGCTTTCTGACCAGAAACTGAATGTTGATAATATTGAAGAAGGATTTCGGGGAACACTATTGACAGCAAATATTTCATCTCAAGTTGTTTAAAGGAAGAATACTTTTGTTTTTTGCCTACAACAAACTTTTGTAGATATTTATGCTGGAAGAAGAAATCATGGAATGCTTCTATTTGCATGTTAGGAGGTAAGATGCCTTAACTCTTTTTATTGGATTGTAAACTTCTTCTGTTTATAGTGGACATGCGTTTCTTCTAGCTTCCTCATTTGTCATCTTAACATAGTACTTATTAAAAAGCTGCCATGGCCAGTAAGCAGTCCTCTGCTCCGGTACAGCATGACTGAAATTGTTAATGTCCTAGCTTCTATGATTGGTTATTCAGACATGATTAGATGTTCGAACCTGCATTCGATTGTCTGATGACATCCTCAGGAAGTAGTCTTTTGTATATCTGATGACATGAACAACATTCCAGTTGGTGTCTGAAATGTAAAATGGCAAGAGGACACATCTCATTTGGTTGATTTTGTAACTTGTTGTGGGTTTGGTCACTGGTGCAACTAGTAACTGATTCATAAATATGTTGTATTTGTGGAAGCAGATGGTAGGACAGCTGCTGCTTAAAGGAATTTTTTGTCTATTCCCCAGCCCATTTTTGTGCCTTGATAATATGAAGAAAACCCGGACTTACTCATCCATGGCAGATGATTGGAGTAAACTGGTGGGTGACCACAGTGATAGAAGAAAGCCAAGGATTCTGGAATTGCTGAGAAGTGTTTTTTATATATACAAGTGGAGATGGATATGAGTATCAGTTGAGGGACTGTAATATTCCCTTGGTTGTACTGGAAATGCTTTTAAGTTGTAGACTATATTTGGCATGTGCAAATGAGTAATATCTGTTTAAGGTATGGAGATAGGATGCTGAGTGCGGTTCATAATGAGATCTAGTCGTGTGTTGTGTGTCAAGAACATTAGACCTATCTAGTACTAGTCGTAGTATTTTGGTAAATATATAACGTAGCTTTCCTGGAAGCCTATTTTCGGCTAGCAGTTTACTTACAGTCACATCAACTGGAATCATATTTTATGGCTATCTATTTTTTACTTTATAATAATAATAGTAATAATGGTGAAATAATTGATTAAAAATGAACAAAAATTAAAATACAATTTCATTCGCATGTTTTGTTTCCTTCCATTGAGAGAGAAAAATCGTGGTAGAATTAGAATCTGAAGTATGGTTAGTGTATATTATTAAAAGTACAAAGTAGTATCTAAATAAATAGGAAGTAGGCCTTGGGTCTGGGAAAAAGGGCGAGGCCCAAAATTTTTAGCCGTCTAGGCCTAGTGGTTGCATTAAGTCTCACTTTATCCCTGGCTTTGTTTGCTGGATTGAGGTGATGATGGATCTGGATTAGTATCGATGGCGGCAAAGGCAAAGCAAATGATGCTGAAGATGTTGACTTCTTCCTTTTCTTTTTCTGTTTCATCACTATCGGCACCGGCATCGGTATCAGCGGTCCGTCATCCCACAAAATCGTGTGCTCTCGTGAGATCTGCTGCTTGTAGAAGCATCTCTACTGATACAAGTAAAAAGAAGAAGAAGAAGAAGAAAGAAAAGGGCAATTGGAATGCAAACGGGTTGGAGAAAGAAAAGAGAAGGACCCGTTCACTCAGGGATTGCGATATTGAGATTGAGGAGAAGGAGGAGGATGATTCTTCTTCTACTTCAGTGATGATGCAGCAGACCCAGACCCACGTTCCCGTTATGTTGGGTGAAGTGCTTGATGTCTTCTCTTCAAATTCAAAGCCTCTCTGCTCTTTTGTCGACTGTACTCTTGGAGCTGCTGGTCATGCTTCCGCGGTCTAATCTCCTTCTTTACTATATAATAATGTGTGTGGACTGCGTAGTGTTAATATTAGGTTTTTCTCCTCTCCTGTATACTAACAAATTGGTGCTTCATCTTGACTGTATAATGTCAGATAATCCAGGCCCACCCTGAACTGAAGCTTTTCATTGGAATGGATGTGGATCCTCTTGCACTCCATATGGCTCGGTCTCGCATCCATTCTCTTTCCCACTCCCATCCTCACCCTCACTTGCAAGCTTTCACTTTTCTCAACAATTTCAGACACATCAAATCCGTTCTGAGGCAGGTTGACCACCCCGACATCTTCTCTTCCGGAGTCGATGGCATCTTAATGGACTTAGGAATGTCATCCATGCAGGTTTTCTCGCCTTCCCTCTTCCCTCCTCCCTCCTCCCTCATTTTCCTTCATCGTCTCCCTTTTCTGCTTTTGCGCAGGTCAACAATCCCGATCGAGGTTTCAGTGTGCTTGCTAATGGACCTCTTGATATGCGCATGGATCCTCAGGTAAGACTTAAGAGTAAGACCTCTCGCCATTCACAAGACACCGAATGGTTTTTCCTTATTGTTTCTTTCCCCCTACCACATCCACATTTCAAGTTTTCAACTTTTCTTGTGATTTCATACATGTTCATCATGATGCTTTTCTGCTTTTACCCTTTCGCTGCAATTTGTTCATCTTTCCGCCAGTCGAGTTAAAATTTTACTTTGTTTCTTCTCATTGCCATAGGAAACGTTATGGATGTTGATTATTTTGCTACCTAAATGTGTTTACTTTTCGGGGAAATTTATAGTATGTCATATCCTAAATTGCTTGCCTTACTTCATTGATCACATATATCAAAGCATTGGCAACTTATGTGCTACACAATCTGTTCACTCAATTGTGCATGTAGATGAAATTTGTGTTTAAACATCTCAGAATCTTTAATACTTTTTTTTCTACTTAATTAACTCTAACAGGTCTATGACAGGCTAGTCTGAAAGCAGAAGACATTTTAAATTCTTGGCCAGACATTGAAGTGGGAAGAATCCTTCGGGATTATGGAGAAGAAAGCAATTGGTGGTTGCTTCAAAATAAGATAATTCAGGCCCGCCTACAAGGTGGATTGCATTCCACTGGTGAACTGGTTGATGTTATTCGGAGTGTGAAGCCTAGAACAAGGGGTAGGTTTCCTCTCCATTCATCCGGTGCAGTTTTGTGCTTTTCATGTTTCGTGTTTAAATTTTCTTACTTGTGTTGAAATGTGGCCGAGAAGTTAAGGACTGGGTCCAAATGGTGAGGCTTTTTGTTTGTTAAATGGACACAATCTGATGTGCTTATTTCTACTGGATGGATAACATGCAATTCAATTGACACAGGAGGCAGGCAAGGTTGGGTAAAGACAGCAACACGAGTGTTTCAAGCCCTAAGAATCGCTGTCAATGATGAACTCAAGACACTGGAGGACTCCTTGTATGCTTGTTTTGATTGCCTTGCTCCTGGGGGTAGGCTTGCTGTCATATCTTTCCACAGTTTGGAGGACAGAATTGTGAAACAAACATTTCTTAAAATCATCGGTTGCTGCATGGAAAGTGGGGATGGTAGTGAGGATATAGGAGATTTGAGAAAGATGAGAAGTGACAATAATCTAAATGAAGCATGGATTCGACAGACGATACAAGGTTGGAATGGAACAGTACTTACCAAGAGGCCAATAACACCATCTGAAAAGGAAGAAGGGTTCAACCGTCGGTGTAGAAGTGCTAAGCTAAGGGTAATTCAGAAGGTGCCTAGATAGGTGATGGGTGAGTTATAGCTGGAGGTCGTAGCTAGCTTAGGGAAGTTATAACTGTATCTTTTATGAGCCGCTCTGCCTTAGGCATTCAATCCCATCTGTTTCACAATTAGAAACTTTCCACGGAGGGAAAAATTGTTAACAGTGTACCATCTTGTAACTAAAATTAAATTTTACCATCATTGGCGATGGTGGTGGTATGACATTTGGAAAGAGGAAGGGGACTCCTTTGCCACCATTGGCCATGGGATTACTACCCTTTTGTTGTCATAGGAGTGGAATCATTTGATGTGCAAGTTAAGTTACATTACTTTGAGCCAAACTAAAAAGAAACACTTGAGATTCTCGCATATTCATCCCGGGGGAAAAAATAAAAAGAAAAATTTTCATGTCTGCAACGTTGGGTGTTACTGTCCGTCAATTTGGAAACTTTAGTAGGAGTTTGTATGTATGCATCTTGGAGGGACGGTCGTTATTTCTATGTGCAGAAAAGCAAGGCTTTGTAGAAACTCATATACCTAAAAGAATTGTTGGTAGAAGCAAGCAAGACGTCCATTAATGTCTATAAATTAATAAAAACGTGCATCTTGTTACCCGAAGCAAGTCGTTCGTTTATATATATGTACTATTTGGGGAAAAGGTTTCACAGACCTACACAAGTGTACTACACTGGTGATAAAAATAAAAAAATCCCGCGAGGCCAACCGCAACTTTCTTTGCGGGACAAAACGCAAAAGTGTGGTCGCTGACTGTGCAGATTGCACTGTATAAGTAAAATAACAAGTGTCAAACCTCAAGTCGGCTTGTCCTTCTGTTCTGGGGCTAGTAATTGGGGATGATGACTATGGTAACTGCAAGCAACACTGCACGTGGATGGACCTTGAGCAGCAGCAGCGGCAGGTTTATGTTAGAGTAGTACCGTGGACTCCTGAGATTGCTTCTTTTCTTTATGTGATTCTAATGCCTCATAAAGTAAATTATTACTCTCCTAATTCCTGCCTGAAATACCAAACATGCTTTCTCTCTGTCTCAGGCTCAGGAACGCTACTCTCCCCGTCCAACTACACTTGCATCAAGTTCAAGCCAACAATGTTGTAGCCTCCGCTAATGCAAAGCGAGCAAATTTGTCTGCCTCAAGGATCCAAAGAGTTGAGCTTCCGGTTTATGATGACACTTCCAAGGGCCGCCAAGCTTATCATATTAGCCACTTTTTAAGCCACCCATCTGGGATCCAAGCAATATTAAACACTAGTGCCTTGCAAAACTTTCAGTATCTTGACACCAATGCATACAGGTCAACTTCCTTCCTTCCTTGTCTCATACTCATACTGCTACTGCTACTATTTATTTGCCATCATCATTCATGTTCTTCTCCCTCTACTACTGTTCCACCCCATTGCTGTCTAGGCAAAACATAGTATCTCACTAATAAATTTCCTTAACAAAGATGATAGAAACCCTTTCTGGCTCTGCCTCGAAAGTTAATGTTAGGAGATTCACTGCCCGACCCTTGATTTGGAAAATTATATATTTTTAAACTCCACTCTTGTTGTATTCAGTCTATGGCCTGGCAATTTTTTTTCCTCGAAAGAAAAGGAACTGATTTTTAATGAACCCGTTCCAAGTTACTTTCTCAGTCATCCTAAACCATTAACCTTAGAAAATTCTTGAACCTCAGGTCTTAATAAGGTTTGATGCCTTTTCTCTGCCATCTTCTTTGTCTTTTCAATAGCTGCAGAAATGATTTTTCTTGCCTGCTGTGCAGGTGCACACTTCCAAAACTTGCCTTCTTCAACTTTGAAGCAACACCTGTACTTGACTTGCGAGTGATCCCCACAAAAGAGGATTGCACCGTGGAGTTAGTTTCTTGCAAGGTGAGCTTATCCTCTATTTAGATATTGTAGAAGGTGGATGTAAAAAAATCTATCATCTGGTGATTTACCCATAAGCATTGAAGCTCCAGTACAAAAGTGAAGAATGCCCAAAATTTGAACAGATCAACCTATGAAAATATTGCTGTATGGAAAGACTTCTTTCTTCAATCAAGTTGGTTTCTGCTTGCTCACAACACAAAAGTATACACATTAATAAGTGACAGTCAACAAGAAAATGCCAATTTTTGCTATTGTGCTTGTTAGTTTATGATTATGATGAGAATGACATATAGTCTATTTTCGCTGAATCCAGAACCTAGTGACATGCAAATGGACGAAATAAATGTAGATCCTTGTTAAGTATTAAAAGGGAAAATGAAGGTCATTGTTAGTCATATTCTGTTTGATGGCTGCTGAAAATTTTATACGCTTGTTGCTAATGTATATGCAGTTCAAGGGTTCAAAAGTTGTGGAACGCCAAAATGACTATTTTTCAGGTACTTATGGCCTTTGTGTATCTTTGAGCTTATATAGCTTTGGTATTCATTAGAGTGATAGATGTTGTGTATGAAGCAAAATCAATAGGTTTTTTCATAGTGCTAAACCTATTGTTGTAAAAGCCAGATTGCCTGTATTTAACAGTTGAAAATTATTTTGATTAAATGAAGTAATTTTTGCTTTACACTAGGCAAGATTTCATTCAATTTTATCCTTATTAATCATGTAAGAGTTTAATTGGAAATTGGAGGGCCTATCAAGATTTTTCTTGTCAATAAATTAATTATGAACTTCCAAACTTGTTTTTAGGATTTTCAAGAATCCATGTTATGCCATATAAAATGAGTATTTGTTTCTAATTTATAACAATTAATGTTGCTTTCAATTTTGCAGCTTCTATGATAAATCATATTACTTGGGACACAGATATTTCTGAACCATTTTTGGAGGTTGATGTCAAGTTGAATCTAAGTCTTGAGGTTGTTATCTTATTTCCTTGACAGATCATGACAGTAATCTGAAAATTACATTTTAGTTGCACCCATTGACAGACCATTGTTCTCTAATATCAACATGCCATGCTTCTCCTGGTTCTTGTGTGGTCCTGAGATGCCGCCACATTGACAATATATAAGAAATTGTGAAATTGTCTTCCAAAGTCGTTCAAGTTTTGATAAGGAGGAGAAAGAGGTGGAGGGATGGAAAGTTGAGAGAGGAGATAGGAGTGAGAACCATTTTCTCTTTCAACCATGTTCTTGGTAGATAAGACGGAAAAGTGGATAGATAGCAAAACATTTTTCCATTTACGGCACATTTGTTTCATAGAACGGAATAGAAGGGGGATAACATTGCAAAACTTTTCTCTTTTCACTTTTCTCTCCTACCAAGTGAAGGCTTATCGTTGTTGCATGACAAAAGTCTCATGCATGGGTTGAGTTCTATTTTCACTTAAAGTGACAGTCAACAAGGGAGGACCTGATCAACTGTTTGAGCTTTATAATAGTGAATCTTGATGGATGTATTCAGTTCACTGAGCTTTATAATAGTAATAAATTGGGATTTTTCATTCTGCCCTATGCAGCTGTACTCTAGTTCTATCTGCCAATATGAAAAGTTTGGGCTAGATCCAGCTTCTCGGCCACAGAGGAAGTAGACTACATCGAATACACCACTTGTTCAACTTGCACTTCTTCGGTTCAGTTTTAATTGAATTTCAAAGTATTCAGGGTGTTGGTGTCACCATGATTTTGGGGCGTTTGACCAGATACTTTTACTTCATAAGTTAACCCTATATCCCATTAAGTTGGGATGGGGGGCTCATATGAGTCGAGTTATATTTTAATTTCTGAAAGTTCGGTTCTGGTCATATTTTTGAGAGCAGCGGCATGATGATACGATTGTTTTCCTGTTTTAAACATGTTAGTGTGCTGAAATTATTTACTTTTACATATGTTTATCTCATCTTTTCTCTGCCTTGTATTGAGCTGCTTAGTCTTTTGCTTCTATAACGTACAAATGATGCTGACCTTTGTAAACAGATTTACACACGACCATTTACTTCACTGCCAATTTCAGCTGTTGAGCGTCCAGGAAATCTGTAAGTATTTTTGGTTTAATAAAATGAGGTTACTGGTGGGATGGCGTAGTCTATGGATTTTTCCACATAATGCATAGATTATGTATTTATCAACAACATAGATTGAGTAATATACAGCAAGAAATGCAAATGTTCATTGCAGCAATCACGCAGATGCTAGGATTATGTGTATGTATGTGGACCGGATGCACATCATCAATTCAAAGATGAAGTAGCTTCTCTATCTTAATACAATATATTTATTTCATGAGTAATTAAGTTGTCGTTAAGATGAAGTGCAATTAGTAGCAATATGGGATGGATTTTCATTTGTATCTGCCATGAATATTCACTCATTCATACAATGGAATTGTCATCAAAACAGAATGATGCAGGCTCTTGTGGATGGACTTGTTCCTGCGCTTCTTCAGCAACTAGTGCAAGATTACAACAACTGGGTTCATCAGCAACTTCAAAATTCTTAATGAATTTGGCAACTAAACCTTTGACGGACCTGTTAACTGTTTTTGGTTCCTTGGGATTTGGATCAATGATGCCATAAAATATGTAATTTGCTTTAATCATTTTAAAGGTCTTTTTCTGTTTAATTAATTATACAGATAACAGGCAAAAGGCAAGCAGGACACTGATAACTGCCTGTTGCATACAGATAATTGTTGTATTCAGAAAATGGCCAAACGTCATTCCATCTACTTCGGGACAATGATAATTTGTTTTAATCATCTTAAGTGGCCAAACGTCATTCCATTGTATTCAGATAATGACATCACAAGCACCATTACACCATGTAACTCCCCCAGGACGCTGATAACTGTTGTACATTCACATCTACTTCAGGCTGGAAAACATAAGTCTTTTTTCCTCTCTTAGGTTTCCAAGATAATGCCTCTGCTACTTTTGACATGTAATGAAGCAATACATCTTCCCTCCACACAACTGGAAGCAAGCTCCCTCTAAAGACCCACCCAGTACGACCGACCATTGCTGTTGTGAATAGGCGATGGGCAAGGAGACGTTACACACCATTCATACCAAACCTGCACCCACCCGATCAATTACATTTTTAATTTTACAACAAACTAGGAATTGAGGCTTAGAAAATAATAAATCTAATATTAAAAAACGAAACTCATAATAATTATAGACAAAATGACTCACCTTGGAAGAACCACAACAACGCCAAAAATGTACTTCTAGTGGGGAACCAGGTTGTACACATATTGGTTTCCTTAGTGGGAAAAATATTGCAAACCTTGATGGAATCAAAACACACCAACCAAATTTGTCAATTTCAGGGAAGCCTTGTAACAAAGGAAAGAACATCCAGTTTGTCTTTTGTAAAAATTGGACATAGAAGATAATGCATCTCACATTTTAGTAGGCTCATTAAGTTTATAAGCTCAGTATAGGTGCTAGGCAGTTCAATGGTTCTGAATTTTAAATAATCATAAGTCTTTGTCTCATTCTTGCCACCCCACTATGAAGCTCTAGTAAATATCTTTAACAACAAAAAGGAGCAAAGACTGTAAAATAAAAGAAATCCACCATCAGTCTAGGGGTCACTGGGCAAAAACAAGAGATCCAGTTGCTTATGTTTAGGGCAATCCATACTTCACGTTTCTTACCTGTGTATGCTGAAATTATTACCAAACCCAAAGTCATATTTCTGGTTCTTTTGTGGGACTTATTTGCAGATGTTTGCAAGATAGCAAATCAGATACACAGTTCCACAAAGTTAAAAAGGCAAACAATGGTTGCATCAAAGTTTGTCAATTTATTTTCTCAATATTGCACTGACTTTCCCTAACTAATTATTCATCTTGAAAATGTCTGATTCCATATTTCTTCTAAGATAAACAAGCTTCAAACTTATGAGCCCTTCAGACATGAATTCAAGAAAAATAGAATTGCATACCAGCTGAACATGTTTGGCGTGGCCATTGATGGTTCAATACCAAGATGTACATCTTTGTAGAGTGTTGCATCAAAGTAGCCAGCAAATCCTTTAATCAGGTTTGCAGACAGAAGTCAGGTCCAAAACTTATCACATGAAAATGTACTATGATTTTCATTTAAGCCAACTGTTTTCTGTAAAATTAACATGCATGCAATTTTGTAATCATGAGTAAGAAAAACATTAGAGTATAAGTAATTGGTATCCAATCTACTACCAGAGTTATCAAGGCAGTACAAGGTCAGATGCTAAATCCTAAAGCTTCAATGCAGGTATTCATCCAACCATTTCTTCTCAATTCAACTTTAGATTGTGTGTGGCTTATGAATTTAAACCCCACCTCGAACAAATATACCAACACCTATTTATCTTCTTTTCTTTCCCAGATCCCTGTAGGATGAGATAAATTATTCATGTCTATTGATGATTCTACTACCTTGCTTCTATACTACATCCCACGATGCTACTATAGTTAATGGTTGAAGGATTGTGCACGCTGTAAAATGCCGCTTCATTTCACATTGTGACTTTAGTATCCATCAACAACATAAAGAAAGCACTACCAATTATCAGTTGCACATAATTGCATACTAAACTAAAAATAAAGTACTATCCACTCCTGGAAAACTAACATCTCTAAAGTTTCATCAAGATTAAGCACTTCATAAGTTGAGAGGACTGCTGTGAACCTAGTATTGTCAACCTGAAAATAGTATAATATATCAAATCTGTGACAAACTGGAATATTATCAAAATGCAAATAAACATTTATAACATGAGGTCATAGACAACAAGAGGTAACGTTCTCATCCTGTATTACTATTTGCTACACTTATTTTTAAGATTATTCCTTTTTTTTTTTTTTGAAAGAACATTTTTAAGATTATTCTTGAAAGGGGCAGAGATCCAACTCATTAAAATAGTGTAAACCAGACTCCACGAAAACTCCAAAAAAATGATGATCTATGCATGATATAGTTTTTCTACAACATTTATTGAAAGGAAATGAAATAGACTTCGTTACTACACACCATGTACAATGGCTGATCCAGTGTCTCGTGGTATTACAAACTGAAGCTTTTTGTAACGTTGATTGCTTTTCTCAGTTGAGTAATCTGGATGATTAAATGTAAATACCTGTACAAGGAAAAACAAAAAGACAGGTTAAAAATAACACAATTCTGGTGTTTCATAAGCATGCAAGACTCAATAAGTGGAAACCCACAGGTTTTGAAGGAGCAAGCTTGGCAATACTGTGCATTTTGACGACATAAGCAGTTTCAAAGTGGACAATATCTTTATGTGACTTCACCTGTGAATACAACAAAAGGAAAAAATAAGTTTTTTGAAGAACAAACTGTAAAAGAGCATACCAGGAAATAGTACAGCATATATACAAGGGCATACATCATTATATAGCTTCGAAGCAGTGATTGGTTGGATGAAACTTGTGTACCTGAGAGGCATATCACAACAAGATGCATTTCAGATTTTCAGTCACCATGACTTCATGATTTTCAGTTAATTGTTACTGAACTTTACTTAGTTTGTTGGCAACCTTTGCTGTTGACATGGTCACTAACATGGCTGATATGCAAGTCAACAGAATCACCCAATTTGTTATAGAACCAAAGGTTACCAATTGTTAAGAATTCAAATCGGGAAAGCCAAGTGACAGTGACAAATCTGGTGACCTCTGATATTGTTATCCCAAAATTTCAGGTATTGATCTCTACCTACATGAGGTTCAGCCCTAAGAAGCATTGATAGAGAATTCGGCTGAATCCTCCTTGGAAAAATGAATTATAAATTGCCACGCTGCTTTATAAAAGAAGAATATACATACGACGAGGGTATTGAGATTCCATCTTGCTTCAAAAACCGTTGGGCTCCATCAAGACACTCAGGAGACAGCTCATTATCACCAAAAGATCCCAGCAATTCACTGACCTAGATACCAGCATAGTAAAGTCAAAGAATATGAATATGTAAGAAAAGGCAATATGAGAGTTAAAAATGAAAAATAGAACACAATGTATAAATATTCGCGTACCAGGATGTCAGCCTTTTCAGGAGCATTCCAAAGACGCATATCACAAGAAACTATGGTAACAATATTTTCCCACCCTTCCAGTTTAACCAAACTCTGTTTAAATAAATATCAGACTCTTTTCAAAATGCAAAACTAAATGAATGTTCAACAAATTTGGACAAGGAAAGAGCAAAATAATAGTCCACATTTCTAATTCAGGGCATCCAAAGTAATTATCCAGGAACAAAAGTCATACACTGCCTGCATAATGTCTTAGCAAATTATCAGAGCATTATCTGCAGAGTATCACATCTTGAAACATAATAACTAGAATCTGCATCTCACATGAAGCGTGACCACAGCATTTGGATTTTTTTCCACAGCATAAACTTTAAGCTTGCGTCCAGTTTCCTCAGCTGCCTATCAAACCAACAAAAAGAATATAAAGACACATCAGAATAGAAAGAAATTGCATAAATCAGCAGGCCCATTCTGCAAAAGATGCAGGAATTTACCTGTAATGATGCCCTCACAAGGGGTCCTCGTCCTGCTCCCACAACCATCAACACCTTCCACAAGTAGAAAACACACCAATATCAAGAATGAGAAATCTTGTGAGCATCAGATCCATGAAAAACCAATACGGAAACAAGATGATCAGAAGTGATACAAAACAGAGAAATCAGAATATTATGATTTGTGATAAAAAGGTAGCTTACAGTGGTTAATGTTGATGCCTCCCCATCAGGGACCCTGTCCAGTAACGCTTTACAGATTGCCCTTTGATACTAGCAAAACATAAGCACACCTCTGTTTAGATTGCAAAATATGAAAGCCTAATAATAGATAACTACTGCCACCAGTCAACACTATATGATGAGTCCCACCCACAAAAAAGTTATTAAACAAATTATCTCTAAAGGAACAAAACAAGTATTTACCTGTATATATTTCACCGAGTCTTTCTCAAACGTTTCATAGGTCTGAGCCTCCAGATTATCCATCAGAGGCTGCATTAAAATAGCATAATCAACCAACCTTTAACTGAAATAATAATAATAATAATAATATTGGCAAGAAATTCGCATAAGAGTAATGCTATTTTGTCCAACATTCGGACCATCCAACTACTCAAAAATGGCATATAAGTGATAAATACATGGGCATTTATTTCTTGTGAGGAGTTGAAAATCAGACACTCTAGCATTTCTCGTAGCAGAAATA